CAGCCCTATAAAGCAGAGCTCTACTTCATAGCACAAAACTCTGAGGCACAGGGCAGCACCTGTGGCTCAAAGGAGTAGGGTGCTGGCCCCGTATACCAGAGGTGGTGGGTTCAAACCTGGCCCTGGCCAAAAACTGCAAAACAACAACAATAACAACAACAACAACAACAAAAACTCTGAGGCACACACAGGTTAAGAAACATGACCCACACTCTTCTTAGTAAAGTATCTCAAGAATGGGAAAAAATATCCAGTGTACTCAATACTAATATGAAACCAATATATAAACAACTATATGCCCACATGAAAGATAAAACACAAATATAATCTAGCAAGGGGGAGGGGAGAGGAAGGAAAGAGGAGGGGCAGAGGGAGGGCAGTAGGCAGGATCTCACCTAATGTGCACAATGTGAGGGTGTTCAGCACGCCCTCTGGATGAAGGGCTCAGCTACAACTTGAACATTACCTTAGAATTGAAAACAATGTAACCTAAACATTTGTACCCTCATATTAATTTGAAATTAAAAAAAAAGAAACATGGCCAATATCTACATGCAATAGGTGGCTGAGCACAGCTTTGAACTCAGGCAGCCCTGCTCTGTGTCAGTGCCTTTAACAGTACAGGTGTGAGACAGAGCTAGAAACCCTGGTAACCCAGGCGCTGAGAGTGAAGGTGGGAGGGCTACAGTGTAAGTGTGAGAAAAGGGCAAAAAACTGACAAGTCTTCTGTGGAATAAATAGAATCAGATGTGAGATGGGATGCAGACGCTGAGAAGAGACAAAGAAAAGAGCCCAAAAGGCCACTTACTAAAAACTAATAGGACAGTGGTTTACCCCAGCCCGTTTGGTATTTGCAATGGAAAACTGCTTAGAGAAGAGTCATGAAATCAACTTTGTTTAGTCTGAGGTGATGGGTCTGGTCCAGACTGATTGATATAATACACAAATGTGATGAAATGGCAAAACAGTGTGGTGGTATAGGGACAGATGTCAGATATGGAATGAAAAGAAATGAGGTCCAGCTCTGATGCCACTGTCAGTGCCCCTGTGACACCATGCAAGTCACTTCGCTGCTCTGAGCCTCAGCCTTCTTTCTTGAGATGGTTTCCTACTGTTATCACCATGAGAGAGTTTAGGTTAAAATGACACATCAAGGAACAGACAGCTAGTTAGAAGCAGAATCAAGATTATGTGCCTGAATGAGCTACCTTTTAAAATGTATTAATCTGAACAACATATTTTGGGGAGAAAAAGAATAATCATTAAGTCAGAGCGAGGATGACAATATCACATGATCTGAACTGGGACCCTTTTGAGAGTGAAAGACTGTGAGTGAACACACACACCAGCACACAGGATGTGAGTGAACACACATGCACACAAGCACACAGGCAGTGAGTGAACACACACGCACACCGGCACACAGGCAGTGAGTGAACACACACGCACACCAGCACATAGGCTGTGAGTGAACACACATACGCACCAGCACACAGGCAGTGAGTGAACACACACGCACACCGGCACATAGGCAGTGAGTGAACACACACGCACACCAGCACATAGGCTGTGAGTGAACACACACACGCACCAGCACACAGGCAGTGAGTGAACACACATGCACACCGGCACATAGGCAGTGAGTGAACACACACGCACACCAGCACATAGGCTGTGAGTGAACACACACGCACACCAGCACACAGGCTGTGAGTGAACACACGCACACCAACACATAGGCTGTGAGTGAACACACGCACACCAGCACATAGGCTGTGAGAGAACACACATGCACACCAGCACACAGGCAGTGAGTGAACACACACACACCAGCACACAGGCAGTGAGTGAACACACACTCTCACCAGCACATAGGCTGTGAGTGAACACACACGCACACCAGCACACAGGCAGTGAGTGAACACACACACCAGCACACAGGCTGTGAGTGAACACACACTCTCACCAGCACATAGGCTGTGAGTGAACACACACTCACCAGCACACAGGCAGTGAGTGAACACACACCAGCACACAGGCAGTGAGTGAACACACACGCACCAGCACACAGGCAGTGAGTGAACACACACACCAGCACATAGGCTGTGAGTGAAAACACACGCACGCCAGCACACAGGTTGTGAGTGAACACACACGCACCAGCACACAGGCAGTGAGTGAACACACACACCAGCACATAGGCTGTGAGTGAACACATACGCACACCTGCACATAGGCTGTGAGTGAACACACACACACCAGCACGCAGGCAATGAGTGAACACACACTTACACCAGCACATAGGCTGTGAGTGAACACACACACACCAGCACACAGGCAATGAGTGAACACACTCACACCAGCAAACAGGCTGTGAGTGAAAACACACGCACGTCAGCACACAGGCAGTGAGTGAACACACGCATGTCAGCACACAGGCAGTGAGTGAACACACACGCACACCAGCACATAGGTTGTGAGTGAACACACACTTATACCAGCACACAGGAAGTGAGTGAACACACACACCAGCACACAGGCTGTGAGTGAACACA